TTTTTTTTGCGGAACCAGGGATTGAACTCAGGCCCTTGCGCTTGCCAGGGAAGCGCTTATTCCACTGAGCCATCTCCCCAGCCGCCAATGTGTGGGCCTCTTCTGAGCCTTGTGCTGCCATCTCTCTGCTCACTACAGGGTGCCATGAGGATGTAACATCAGGAGCCAAAGCAATCACTTTGGACTCAAAAAAATCACACGTCAAGAGTGGCGGAGGGGCCGTGGAGCTGGCTCAGTGGAATAAGCGCTTCCCTGGCAAGTGCAAGGGCCTGAGTTCAATCCCCGGTTCCTCAAAAAAAAAAAAAAAAAAAAGAATGGCATAACAGGGCCAGCCAGATAGCTCAGCGGACTAAAGCTCCTGCTTAGGCAAAGCACAGCAGCCGTGGTTTGATCCCTGGCCTGCTGGCCCCTCCCTGCACCGAGACAGAGATTAAAACTGGGTGTGGTGGGGCGCACAGTAATCCCAGCCCTTGGGAGGCTGAAAACAGGAGGATCACAGTCCGGTCTATGTAGTGAGACCCTGTAGACCCTGTACTAAATTCATAAAATTGAAAGAAAAAAGAATGGCACAGCCCCCTTCCCAGGCCACCAATGGGCCTCTAGGAGACACAGCCAGGGCAGCAGGCCACCGCCCTGTCAGAGTAGCTGCTGGTGACTGCTGGCTCTAAAAAGAAGCAAAATGGAGCGGAGCTGTACCACCAGCTTATGGTTTTTTTTTTTTTTTTAATGTATGCCGTACAGGGTCTATAGGGTCTCACTACACAGATCGGACTCTAGTGATCCTCCTGCTTTCAGCCTCCCAAAAGCTAGGCTTATAGGCACGCCCCACCACACCCGGTCTCAGTTGTGTCCCAGCTCACCCTGGGGCAGGGCCAGCACAGCAGGCTTGGGATCGAACCCCCAGCTCCTGCACCAGTTTGCAGGCGCTTTCATCCACTGAGCTATCTGGCCAGTCCTATCTTGGTCCTTGTAAAAAAAAACATACAAAAGCAGCTGAAGAAGTGGTGACCTAAGGGGAGAGGGCTTCCTGACATGTCACTGTGAGGAACACCAAAAATGTCTCCTTCTGGTAGGAGGAGACTGGGCACTGAGCCCAGGACCTTGCACTGAGCCGCTTCAGCAGTCTTTCTCTTTGTATTTTGAGACAGCTGCGAAGCTGTCCAGGCCGAGTGTGAACTTGAGCTGTTCCTGCCTCAGCTTGGCAGCGTGCTGGGACCACAGGCGCTCCTGTCACGCCAGGCCGTGCTGCTTCATTCCTGAACCATGTTCCCTTTTCAGGAAGGTTCAATTTAACAACCCTGACATAAACACAGAGGCCACAGTGCCCGGCTGTCTTCCCACACCCACACGAGATGGGCTAGTGAGGGCAAGCTGCGCATGCATGGGACTCGTTCCACGCCTAGCATGGGGACTCCCAGGTGCAGTGACTCAGATGGCTGGGCGGCCCCGTAATTAGGGTACAGGAAGGAGGCTGCAGGGCAGACGCCAGCATCCTGCCTACCCAGAGGGGCCCTGCAGCCACACCCAGGCACACAGGGCAGGGCCGGGCCCATCCCCACCACACCTCACCTTCGACTTGAGCAGCAGGTCCTCCTTGGTCACCTCCCCTATGGAGTCCAGGTGTGGGCAGAGGTCCCGGGAGCTCCCCATTGCGGCCTGGGCTCACCTGCGAGGAGACACAGCTGCTGGGTGAGCAGCCACCAGCCAGAAGTCGGGGTGTCACTCTGGCCAGAGACCCAGGGCAGCTCCCCAAGCTCTCCAGGCCTTGAGCCCCTCCTCTGAGAAGAGGACAGATGTCCCCATGGTCACTGGGCCATGCACAGGCAGCACGCCTAGCAGGCAGGCAGGCAGGCAGGCAGGCAGGCAGGCGGGGGAGTGTAAGCCTTCAAGCCTCGGGCGGGCTTCAGGAGGCCCACCTGAGCGTGGAGCTACCAACCCTGGGTCTCTGTGCAGCTGGGTTTGTTTTTTGGTAGAACCGGGGATTGAACTCAGGCCCTTGTGCTTGCCAGACAAGCACTTATTCTACTGAGCTGTCTCCCCGGCCCCTCTCTGTGCAGTTTAGGCCAGCCTGAACTCACTATGTACCCCAGGCTGGCCTCAAACTGGCAACCATCCTCCTGCCTCAGCCTCCCTAGTGCCGGGGTGACAGGCCTGCACTGCTATGTCTAGAACTTTTTGGAAAAATAAATGCCTCCCTTGGGGAGTGTCGCAATGGGGATGAACAGTCCCCAGGTGTTAAAACTTTACAGCCTGTGCTCGTGCGCCCACACCACCGCCACCACCACCACCTCCACCTCCAACACCTCCATTACCACCACCACCTCCACTACCACCACCTCCACCTCCACCTCCACCTCCACCACCTCCACCTCCACCTCTACCACCTCCACCACCACCTCCACCACCTCCACCATCTCCACCACCTCCACCTCCACCGCCACCACCACCACCACCACCTTCACCTCCACTACCACTACCACCTCCACCATCACCACCTCCACCTCTACCACCTCCACCGCCACCACCTCCACCGCCACCTCCATCTTCACCTCCACTACCACTACCACCTCCACCATCACCACCTCCACCTCCACCACCTCCACCGCCACCACC